CCTCGATAGTAGAACAGCAGCCTGAACTGTAGAGTGAGACCCTGTCTCAAAAAGACAAAAAAAAAGACAGGGGATGTAGTCCAGTGCAAAGGCTGTGGGTTCAATGTTAAGTATCTGTGACAAAAAAAAAAAAGATTGAGAGGGTTACAAGTAGATGCCCCTCAGTAGTGAAACATGTGTTGCTATTATCCCTAAATACAGTTTAGTAGAAAAGCCCAAAAATTCTTAAAATGCCAACACAGAATAATCCATCTAATTTCACAATTTGTCCTAAATAATTACTGATCCCTCTGATACTACACTTGACCTTAGCCAAAAGGCCGAGAAGCAGTGCATCTGGTCACTCTGATCATTTCCTTGTCCTTTATTTCATTCTCTGCTCAAACACAAGCAAGGTCCTCACCCACGAACACTTCGGAAACGCTGACCCTAAATCAAAATCTCACAAAGTCACCTGCGTAAGTCAGTTCGGCTTTTCTCCCTGCTCTTCTCCATGCAGTGAATGCCCTGAATCATTACATTACAAAAAAAAACCTATCAAAATTCATTGACAAACTTTACTTTTTAGTACAGTTTCAGATTTACAGAATAATTGAGCATACAGGACATACATTTCCATGTTCCCGCATTCCCTTGCCATCTCCTCAGTTTTCTTTATTAACACCTTAGAAGTGACAGTGGACTAACCAATACCAGCCTGGTATTGTTAGTATAGTCCACAGCATTTGCTAAGGCTCCTTCTTCATACCATAGATTTTGACACATATCCACAATTACGTCTTCATACAGAATAGTGTCACTGTTGTAGAAAAACCCCTCAGAGTTAGATTGGCTCTTACTTTCTTCTTAAAATATTAAAAATTGCAAAAATAACTCAAATTGTTAGGACAAATGTTGCCTGCGGATGCTGTTTTGTTTGTCTTACCATTATGATCACTGCGATAAATGAGAGAACGAACTTGTATATAAATAGCAAAAATCATAGCGTTTTAAATATATAAAGGGTCTTATAATTTAGCAAATCTCATATTCTTCAAGGCTCTGTCCTTTAGCTTCTTCTGCCATTAATCTACTAACTCTGCTGCAGAGAAATAGATGAAGAAAAAACAAATTTCTATTCTAAATAATGCTCCTAAGCTCAGTGTAATCAAACGTGGATTCCTTTGTGTTGTCTATTTACATTAGGAGCCTAATCACTAGCTAGAGTCTAATTTGAGGATGTTAATTACGAATGAAAGATGTAATATTCTGAGAACAGAGGGGAATTCACCAGGGCTTTATTCCAGGAACATTTGTAGGATTTAGTCAGGACTACGAAGTTGATAAATCATTTCTGTACTTTATATTTTTTCTCCAAGACCATGGCACAATGGAAAAAAATTAAACAATGACCTTCTTGAATAGTCTGTCCTTGGATTCACTGCTTTCAAAAATATAAAGTAAGCAATTTAAATCCAGAGCTGATAAAGATGGAGATTTCAACCTTTTGATACTGTCACCCTAGGTCCTTTAGTCATGAAGAAAGGACTTACTTTAGGATGCGTTTATATTCCTTCTCGTACCTTGACAATCCTGCTATTATGACTCTCCTCTTTGTTTTAAAGAAGATAATAGCAGGCTTTATTTTAATTTACTCCCATTTTTTAAGGCACATCTACTTTATATTCCTCACCCTCTTAAAACTTATCATTAATCTCAGTCTTCACTTAAATCACCAGAGCTATTTGGCACAGACAGTATGAATACTTCTCTGCAAAGCCTTCAGAAAATTGCTATTTTAAATTTACTTTCTAAAAGACCCACTGTAGAACTTAAATTGAATATATTTGCCTCGCCCTTTAATTGTTTTGTTTCTTGGGTTTTTTGTTGTTGTTCTACTTCCGGTACCGGGAATCGAACTCACGACCTTGCGCTTGCCAGGCGGGCAAGCTAAATCCCCAGCCCCTGCCTCACCCTTTAAAATGGATCATTCTTACGTCTTTGCACAATTATTTGGGAAGATACTTTCTAAGGGTGATTACTCTTCCTAAACGCCTTGTTTTCCTCAAACAGTAATATATCAAAAGTACTTGAAGCAGAAGAATCCAGTGAAAATTAAGACTTACATTTATATTTGAGCATGCCAGCATAAATACATTTATATTTAACCTGGTTAAGAAAATACTTGTTGTAATTATTATTAATTTTAAAATTCAGAAGTACGGGGCTGGGGATTTAGCTCAGCGGCAAAAGCGCCTGCCTGGCAAGTGCAAGGTCATGAGTTTGGTTCCCGGTACCGGAGAAAAACCAAAAAAAAAAAAAAAATTCAGAAGTATGAAAATGAAGCTTTTTTTATCCAAATATTTTATTTCTTTTTTGAAGTATGCACTAGGGACTGGATCCAAGGCCTTCTCCCTGAGCTTTATCCCCAGCCTTCTGAAAAACTTATTTATATTTTTTGAGACAGGGTCTCACTAAGTGGCTAAATTGCCAGGCTGGGCAACTTGGTTCTCCTTCGCCTCCTAAGAGTGCTGGTGATACAGGCAGGCATCACCATGTCTAATCCAGATACATTTCTGAAAGTTAAATTATCTGAGAACCCGACTGCTGGCCTCCTGGGTGATCTAATGAGCCTCACAAAGTAGGTTCCCTGCGAGATTCCTGGGAACCTCTCGCCCCGACTCAAGGCCCTCAAGGCCGTAGAGATGGTGGTGAAGACACTAGCAGAGGTTGGCGGCTTCTAATCCATCCAATCCAGGGTTCCCGACAGCTCTCTGTGAGACTCTATATTCCCAGCAAAAGGAACCCTGTTTTCGTCAACACCTGAACAGCGGCAGTTAGCTTTCCTCTGTCTCCTCCGGGAGGGAAGGGCTGAGGGCAGCAGGGCAGGGATGCCAGCAGCCTCACTGACTGACTTGTGAGATACATGGTAAAAAAAAAATGTTATTACACACAATTCACTGTTATGGCTTTTACAGATTGGCAACCTGTAAATAACTTTACTATCATAATCAATAATAGCCTGCCTCATTACCACCTACAAACCACTTAAAAATAACTAGTTATCTCAGACCTAGCCTAGTGATTCTTTTATAAATATTTGTGTTACGCTGGCAAATTTTTGAAATGCCCGGTTTGTTTTCACAGGAGCCTGAGAACTGAGTCAGACACTTCAGGTATGGAACAAATTCCACTCCGCGTTTTACTGTGACCCTGGGGTCTGCGAGTCACCCCGGGGTAGAGGCGAGGAAGGAACCCAGCTAGGCTTTTCGTTGCACCCCCTTTCTTGGCTTTACTCTATCCCGAGAGCAGAGTGGACAGTGGGGAAACGCTTCCTCAGAGCCTGTCCTGGGACTGTCTTCCAAGTGACAGGCCCTACTTTAGGTTTCTTTTCTGTGCTGGTACCGTTCAATTTTCCAGTTCCCTGGATTTAACTCGTCATTCCTGAGCCAAGGCTAGTTCTGCAGAGAGACTCCAACCTACAATAGTAGTAAGACCTCCCACGTTTGCTGGTGGGTAAGGGGACATATCATAACTAAATTTTAGGAAAATTAAGATCATTTAGCTCCTTTTTTTCAAATTTTATTTTAAAGAGAATGGGGAAAAAAAGGCACAAAGTCAAAAACAAAACAATAAAAATGATACAGAATTTCAATACAAGGTGATAGGAAATGACCAATAGCTGTCATATGACGTATTGCTGTTGTCACAGCGCCTTTCTTCCCCCTCAGGTCTTTAGCCTCTCCCTGAGGATCAGGTGATAGGATTTCATGTCCAGGTGGGGGGGGGGGGGAAAAACAGTTTCTTCCTTACACTCCCAGGTCAAAGAACCTTTAACTTTAAGACAAACATTTACCCAGAGGCAAGTGTAGGGATCTTTCTCTTTGCAGTTACTTTCTAACGTGGGAACTGGACTAGGCCTCAGCTTTAGTCATGCACATATTTATGTGTATTCTTTTAATGTTATATAAAAAATGCAGAGGAATATTTAACTCACCTCAAATGAAGAGCAAAAACACTACTACTTCAAACTGGGCACAGTGGTGCACATCTATAATCCCACCTCTCAGGAGGCTGAGGCAGGAGGACCGCCCTGATTTTGAGGCCAGCCCGGGCTATAAAGTGAGTTCGAGGCCAGCCTCCACTACAAAATGAGATCGTGTCTCAAAAAACAAAAACAAACAACAAACAACCTACTACTTCAAAAATGGAGATATTTGAAAGTATTTATAGGCACATTTATGGGAATCTGTCCTACAAAGAAGGACTAGTAAGATAGGTTTGTATACAAATATAGATTGGTCTTTAGGTCTCCCAACAGTCATTGGTGTCCAAAAATACCAGGTGAACATCACCATAATGTGATGCCTATGTTGCAATCTACAGAATCAAAACCAACAACACTGTAGGAAATGTTATTGTAGTTTATAAGAAAAATGCAAAATTGCCTTTCCATTTTATAGAATTTTCATCTAGGAACTTCTACCCTGAATTGTATTTCATAAAGAAATCAAACTAAATATTAAGGGCCGAGCATGGTGGTGCACATCTGTAATCCCAGCACTCGGGAGGCTGAGGCAGGAGGATCATTGCAAGTTCGAGACCAGCCTGGGCTACAAAGTGAGCTCAAGGCCAGCCTGAACTCTACAGTGAGACTCTGTCTCAAAAAGACAAAAAACAAAAAAGTATATATTAAGGGATGTCCAGTACAGGCAGATATTTTCCCCTTATTTGCTAAAGGTGAGGATAAGTCCAATGGCACCCTTCTTACTGGTATTCTAATTAGTGTAGTGTATGAACATTCTGAGAATTCGTTTATGCAGCCGTGGAATTTTAAAACTAATGTAGGGCATGGAGGCCATTATCTTTACCTATGTGTAACGAATTCTTTCACCTGTCGTCTGGCACAGACCCAATTTTTAAGGACACAGGGATGGTTTAGTGGTAGATCCAGTGCTTTCACCAACTCAGTTTTGTTCAGTTGAACAAGCGCTCCACGCCTGTTTTATAGGAAGGCTCTGGGAAGGAGAGAGAGAGAGAGAGAGAGAGAGGGAGGGAGGGAACAGAACGTGTTCCTTGGCCCTAAAATGTGTATAAATATCATAAATCACTATGTTACTTAATAGCATAACTCGCTGTTATTTACTAACATAAACGATTATGTAAGCTTTGGGCTAAAAATGAACACATTAGCCTAGGAAGGGAAGTCAAGGAAGGCTTTAAGGAGACCTTTGAGCTAGAAAAGAGGGAACGAGGGTGTCTTGGGTAGAGGAGAAGGTGTGAGTAGCTGTACTGGGTGCACCGGGAAAGCGAGGCATGGACCAGATTATGGAAAACTTGAATCTCGTTTAGAAATCTGGATGCAGTGTTGGGAAGCTGAAAAGGAGCTGCTGAGAGATAGGAAGAAGAAAAAAATCAGTGTCGTGTGTTAGGGGGATGCGCTGCCTATACTCTCTACCAGGAAGAGGAGGCTAGAAGTCCAAAGACCGTTAAGAAGCTGTTTAACAGTCCAGGTGGAGGGTGCCAGAGTCATGAACCGAATAAGAAGCACTTTGAACAGAAAGGAGGAGGAGGACTGGTGGCGCACACCTGTAATCCCAACACCCATGAGGCTGAGGCAGGAGGATCACCCCGAGTTCAAGGCCAGCCTAGGGTACATTGTGAGTTCAAGGCCAGCCTGAACTAGATAGTGAGACCCTGTCACAAACAAGCGACAAACAAACGATGGAAAGAAGCACATTATCATAGAGTGGACAAGTCACTGATGGTCTCCTTATGGAGACAAGGAAAAAAGAACTGGGAATAATGGTTTGGGAGACAACACGACTAGAAGGTGTAAGCCCATGAAACAACCCAGGAAAAGGAACTGGAGGAAATTTGGGGGGGAAAGATGAAGTCAGCTGCTGAACACTGAAGCTAGAAGCAAAAGTCCCAGGTTCGTGTTCTAACTGCACTGCCTCTATAACACGAGCATTTCATCTCATCTGTCCAGCCTCAGTTTCCCTGACTATAAAATGGGTGTGCACAAGGCAGGGCGTTGGGGTGAGAAGGGTGTGTGACCAGTGGTTCCAAGGCCTGTTTGGCAGTTAGGAGCTGATATTCTTGTAAAGCTAGCAGGCAGCTTGAAAGAGAGCTCTGGGTTTTATTTACACCAGGGAGTGTACAATAGATAATAAGAAAGGGAAAGAAATTGCTCAAAGGAAGGAACAACTGGGATGAGGGAAAGAAGAACAAGAAAGTACTAAGGCATTTTATATATATATATATATATATATATATATATATATATATCAGTGGTATAACTGTACTGCTGGTGTCTGATGGTTTGTTGAGGGGAATAGTTAATGATTACAAGTTTTTTTTATATTTTGACCAATTCTGCATGCTTAGATCTAGTAATCTGAGCAATTTATGTGAAGACGACAATTTTCAGTGTAACAACCATTGGTGAATTCCTACAATCCTGTCTAGTGAAACTATGTATTGTCTCTAATGTTCTTTTAAATTATTATTTTCTTATTCCCTTTAATGGTTTGATCAATCTCCTATTCTTACATCTGGTAATCTGAGCAACTTCGTTGAAGATAACTATATAGAATAACTATATAATATATAATCTTAATCCCTATCATTTGGTTTGAAAACCTGTATCATTTTTAATGTCCTTGCTTTGTTTTGTTTGTACTTTGCTATTGTTCTTTTTTTTTGGTACTCTTTCCTTTAAAATAAAAATTTTTTAAAAAGAAAAAGAAAAAGAAATAGAGCTCTGGAAACCAGGAGAGAAAGACAGCAAATTAGCAGCAAAATCCTACAGTGAGTGTGTTAGATCACAGGGATAGCACAATGTACAAAATTGGCTCAAAAGAATTGGCACAGTTTCCCAAGAAGTATTAACTATTTTCTCCGTTTGTTTTCTTTCATGTACTTTCTTGTTTCTCCCTACTTTTCTCTCCCACGTCTTCCCTTTGTTTTTCCTTAGGCTTGAATAGTTTTCCAGTTTTCCCCTTGATTAGCATTTCTTTTCCCCTTTTCACCCTCCTCTGAGTCATTCCCCCTCCCCCCCCCCCCCCCGCACTCTCATTAACCCCTAACGCACCTCACACCAAGAAAAGCAAAGCTGAGCTCAGTCTTAATCCCTATCTCATTAAATTTAATCTAAGCATTGACTAAAAATGAGTCTGTAATTCCAATGTCTACTTTAGGTAGAAGCCAAACTAATCACTGGTCCCCTCCTGATAAAAACAAATTCCTGGCTCTATGAAGCTCCTCTGATTGGCCTTCACCCGGCTCCTGGGCGGTGCTATGAGGGAGCATGCGCTCTAAATCCGTCTCTCTCGCCTCCCAGCAGCTTGAAGTATCTGTTCCTCTTTCTGTGGAAGATTCTGGAATCGGGGCACTTCACAACAGTTTTTATGGCCAGGCAGTGAGCCACTGGCAGGTCCCAGGCTGAGCTTATCCCTCCGGAACTGAGTTCATCTCTCTTCTTTTTTGACTTTAAATTTCATACCTTCCAACTTTATTCTCCTTAATTTTTCCACTTCCTTATAGGGAGCACAAGTGCTAGGCTTATCTACGATACTGTGGTATTTTTCCAAGATGGAAAGAAATGAAACAGACGATAAAGCTCTGGGGTGGGGGAATTACCTCCGAAATATTGAGAGTTTGCTTCTTCCCCCTACCTTTCTTTTCCACTTTGCTCTTAAATATTATAAATCAAATTCCTTAGACTCTTACGCAGCCAGGTTCACTCTCTGTTTATGAAACCGAGGCCGAAAAGAAGGAAAGGAAAAGGCCCCCAGAAGGAAATGAGTTTGTGAACTCGGACAGTGAGCTCTGCCGGAAAGATGAAGACATTTCTGATGATGTGTTTTGAACGTAATTTGAATTTAAGACCCAAATTAAGTTCTCTCTCCTGTGCCTTTTTCTTTCCTGCTTTTGTACCCCGCTTTCTTTCTCATTTCCTCTCTCTCTGCCTCTGGTGATCTCGCTTCATCTTCTCCTTCCCCCTCCGGCTCCCCTCTCCGCTCGTATCAAATCCTCTCCGAATTTCCTGAACCTTCTGCCTCATCCGTCTCCTCCTTTCTCAGGGGAAAGAATGTGAGGAAAGGAAAGGAAAACAGAAAAAGATAAAAATCAATGGAAAAACGTGCGAGACAACGTAAGGGTAAGTAGATTTTAAAAAATTATAAGCCTCACACTGGGCAAGGTGGCACACACCCTGTCGTGCCAGCATTTGGGAGGCTGAGGCAGGAGAATTGCTGTGAGTTTGAGGCCAACCTGAAGGTACATAGTGAGAGCCTGTCTCAAATATATATATATATATATACCCCTTTATAGATTTAATAACAGTTGTGACACCTTTAGAAATTGTTAATCAGTTGACTCTTTTAACCTCAGCCTCGATACTTTTAATGTCCTACAAAAGAGGTGGAACACAGCACTGAAGGAGAAGGATTTGTGGTTTCTGTTACAGGATCCATGATGGGTCAAAAGTAACACCGGCCTAGGGAGGCGCTTCCGGTGAGAATTACACCCTGCCGCTACAACAGCGACTCCTCTCATGCTCACACCTAACCTTCTGTACTCCTTCCCCATGCTATTTCCCATCCAGTCTCCTGAGACTTCCTAACGCAGCCACGACCTGTCTTTGATGCCAAAATTACACGGAGTTTTTAGTCTCACTAGGGGCGTCACACACAGTTGCGCAGCTTGTATGCTGCAGGGTGCAGGGCGCGCCATTCACATTGCAGTTTGATCCTCCTGCCTCAGGCTTCCAGAGTGCTGGGATTACAGGCATGCACCACCATACTCTGACTTTTGTCACTTCTTTTCCCACTTTTTCTTCTGAGGCAGGGTCTCACTATGTAGTGCAGGCTGACATTGAACTCACTATGTAGTCCAGGCTACCTTTGAACTCAAGGTGATTCTCCTGCCTCGGCCTCCCGAGTTCTGGGATTACAGACATGCGCCACCATACCTGGCTTCTTTTTGTTGTTTTTTGAGACAGAGGCTCCCTATGTAATTTTGGCTGGGCTTGAACTGACTATACAGCCCGGGCTGGGTTCAAACTCATGGTGATCCTCCTGCCTCAGCCTCCTGAGTGCTGGGATTACAGATGTGCACCACCATGCCCAGCCACTCTTCATATTATCTTTAACTTGCTCTGTGGTGGTGAGCAGTGCAGAGGTAACATGTAGAGAAACACATAGGCTCCTACGTCCACGTGGGGGAGAAACCCAAACCTTTGCCTTTATACTTTGCCAAGTATAAAGAAAGAAATCTTTAAAAGTCAAATCAAAGGGGCTGGGGATTTATCTCAGTGGCAGAGTGCTTGCCTGGCAAGCGCAAGGTCATGAGTTCAATTCCTGGTACCAGAAGAAAAGACAAAAAAAAAAAAAAATCAAAAAGTCAAATCAATACTTTACATTGATTTTGTTCCTTGGTTGATATAATCTATAACAATGAAACTTCAAATATGGGTCTCACTGAGAGAACTACAAAGAATGACAAAACATGAAATATTTGTCATACTTAAAATCTGATTTCTGAAATTGAAAAAGTGTCTCCAAAATTCTTCAGCTCTGAATTGCTGATATATAGGAAAGGATAGATTATTTTTAAATGGTGAAACAAAGTTTTTTACTAATAAATTCTTCATATTATTGCAAATGAAATCATGTGAGAAGCTTTATCTCATTACACGTAAAAGAATGTGCAAGTTTTTTGAGCATATTATGGTATATGTAAATCTAACGGCTAAACTGTAGAACGTAGTTGAGCACAGATTAAGCATTTGTTTAGCTCAGCACAGATTAAGCATAAATATCACATAATTCAGTGATATTTATATAAACTTTAAAGAATAAAAACCATGGGGCTGGGGATTTAGCTCAGCGGCAAAAGCGCCTGCCTGGCAAGCGCAAGGTCGTGAGTTCGGTTCCCGGTACCGGAAAAAAACCAAACCCAGAAGGGCACAACAGCTCTGAAGCCCAGTCAACTGCTCTTAAAAAAAAAAAAAAAAAAAAAAAAAAAAAAAAGAATAAAAACCATAATCTTAACTACTTGTGCCCACGTGGTGGGCACACACATACCATCTCAGCACTCCGAGACGGGAGGCTGAGACAGAAGGATCAAAACGTCCAGCCCAATCTGAGCAATTTAGTGAATTAGCAAAAGCCTCACTCAAAAAAGAGACAGAGGATGCATTAGCTCAGCATGAAGGCCCTAGATGTCACATCCAAACCGAACCCAAAACAAACAAATCCAAAAGCAAACCTCGACTGGTTCAAGTTCTTGAGTAGAAATATCTTCTAAAAACAAAAATATTAAGAAGCTAAATTTTTATGCTTTTACTTTTTTGGCAATTCTGGGGAGAGAAGCCAGGGCCTTGTGCATGCTAGGCAGGTGCCCCACCACTGAGACGCACTCCTGACTAGGACATTTTTAACATCACTTCAACCTTGAGATTTAAACACTGAGTCCTGGACATGTAGCTCAGTGATAAAAGCACCTCCTTTACATTCAGCAGCACCTAAAGGAATCAGTAAATAAATATGTCCAAAGTATACTTACGTTTATATTATAAAGAAAAAGTATATTGTAAATGTAATTTTAATTTTTTTCAATCACTTTTTACTGGTATTAGTTCTTGTCTTATACTTAAAAGTAGTATTTTAAAATTTTGTATTTAAAATATATATTCTGTATTTCAGACCTCTGAATTAAATGAACTGACTTCATCATTTTGTTTTGTTTTGTTTTGTTTTTTCAGATAGATGCAGACCACTAAGCTAACAGTAAGCCCAGCTCAGGAAAGACGATCCATGCAAGGAGAAAACCAGGCAGTACCTTCCACATGGCAGAAATAAAGGACGCTCCTAATACATTAAGAATTCAAATCCATGTCAATCTAATTTATTTAAATCTTAACTATTTTAATTGTGGACATCTGTTTTAAAGGAATCTAGAGAGATGTGCAAGACTGTAAGATTTTCAATTCATAAAGTTTTTTAATAAGGTTTCTTTTCTTTGGAGTTGTTAAGCAAATTTATTATTCTCCATGTTTTCACTTTTCTTGAACATTAGCCTGTGTTGCTCTACCACAGGGCCATGTGGGGTTGCCCAACGGGGCGGGGGAGACCACATTCCTTCCATCTTCATGTCCTGGCTGAGCACCTGAGGCTAAGAGAGCATTTACTGCACCCATGAGCATCATATTCAAAAGGATTTGTGTGGGTTGAACCATCCCTGCATTCCTAGGATGAATCCCACTTGGTCATGATGTATAATCTTCTTGATGATTTGCTGTATTCTGTTTGCTAGTATCTTAGTGAGGATTCTTGTATGTATGTTCATTAGGGAGACTGGCTTTCTACATGCCAAAGAATACAGCTAGACCTATGTCTATCACCATGCACTAAATTAAAGCCAAAATGGATCAAAGATCTAAATATTAAAACAAAAACACTAAATCTACTGGAAGAGAAAGTAGGTAGAACTCTTAAAGACACAAGGTTAGAAAGAGAGTTCATGAACAAAACCAAACTGCACGGGAAATACTTCAAAGAATCAACAACTGGGATCTCATCTTATTAAAAAGCTTTTGCACATCAAAAGAAATCATCAACAGAGTGAAAAGACAACCCATAGAGTGGGAAAACTTTTAGCCAATTGTTCCTCAGACAA